CCTCCCTCCCTCCCTCCCTTCCTCTCCCTCCCTCCCTCCCTCTTCCCCCCCTCCTGCTCTCGTAGGCCGGGCACTAACGGAGCTGCCTGTTGAGAGCGGGACAGCCGTCTTGACGCAACTAGGTAGGTTGGAGGGAGGACGGGGAGGGTGGGACGGAGGGAGCGAGGGCAGGCAGCAGGGGCGAGGTGCAGACTCACGACTACGAAAGTCTCTTGCCGCCGAGGCATGAGAATGAATGAATGAATAAGACCTTGGCTTTGCATTCCACGGGCCTTTCAGCCTCGACGTCGCCTGATTTCTTGCGAGACAGAAGCATTTATCGCTCCAGCCATGCCCCCAGCTATAACATCCTTCACCCTCTGATAACCCCTCCCTCCCTCCCTCCCTCCCTCCCTCCCTCAGGCTTTCGACCCGACCGCGTCGACCTGAATCTGACCGTCCTGTTCGGGTACTTAGGGGCGGCTCTCGTAGTAGCCTACCTGGTGCTCGCCCGGTGCGTGAAGGAGGAGCGGTAGGGGCCCAAAAGGGAGGGGAGTGGGGGATGGGGAGGGCGAGGGAGAGAAGCAGGGAGGGGGAGAGCGCGTGGAGGGAACGTCGCCAAGAAGGACGCTCGTCAACGGTGAAAGGGAAATATTGAAAGGGGTGCTGCCAGTCAGTCCATGTGGTGCCGGCGAGGAGCTCCACGCACATCTTGGAAAGGAAGAGGGCGTCAAATTGGCGCGAACGACACGTGGACACGGGATTCAAGGGCAGGGTGAAGTCGAGGGGGGGCGTCAGAGCATCCCTCGCTTTTCTGGCCCGAACACGAGTAAAAGTGTAAATAATCACGAAATGACATGACTGTAGCCTCTGCCTCTCTTGCTCGTTGACTCTACTGGTATCTTTGCCATTGCCTCGCCCTGCTCGTTGACTCCCCCCACGCCCTGCGAGGCCCAAAGCGACTCTCCTCAGGCCCCAAGGCAACGTTCGGCGAGACTTTCACCAAGGAGCGGGCATGGGAAATGAGGAGTGTGAGGTGAAAAAGACGGAGGAGAAAGGGGAGAGCAACCGACGGAGAGGATGGACTTCAAAAACGAGGCAGTGTCAGTAAGGGCGAGAAAGAGAGAGTAAGAGGCGCCGTGAGCAAACTCCCTGACACCCACGATGGAGTTCACCTGCTCTTGTTTACGGTCCTCGTTTTATTTAGATTTCGGCCCTCTTCTGCTCCTTCCCACAAGCATCTGCACAGGTTTACTACATCCTCCTCCGTCCAACCCTCTTTCCCGCCCTTCCCAAGCCCCTTCCTTCTTCGCACCCCTCATTTTTCCCGCTTCCTTCACCGCCCTGAGGAGAACCCGCTGTAGGCTGGCGGGTTGAAGGAGGAGCCAGAGGACGGGGGAGGGGCAGAGGCGTGCGGCATCGGATTCGTATACGTCGCTGTGGCCTGTAAGAAGGAGGAGGGAATACCCGTTGACAGAAGACGTGGATTAGTGTATGGTAGCGACAGGAGCCCGAGCCAGGGGCTATGTCTTCAAACTTGGTGTTCTTCCAGCGTCCCCCACGTGCAACGTTTCCCCTCCTTGCCCTTTTCCTTCCCCACTCCTCTCGCCTTTTCTACCCCTCCCTCCCTCCCTTCCTCCACCCCTTCCTCCCTCCCTCCCTCACCACTGGCGCGTCCACCAGCACCCGCGAGGGGTCGCTTGGGTCCATGTACCCTCCTCCCTCTACGCCGGGAGCTACCGCCTGCGCGACGGGCAAATTCCCTCCCCCCCATACCAGGGCTGCTGCTGCTGCGGTGCATGTGGTTGCGGTTGCGGCGGTTGTCCGTGATGTGGCTGTTGTTGGGGCGTTCGCAATTGCTGCGCTGGTATTGCCTGCCCTTGCGCCTCCCTGTGCAATTGGTCCATAAGACGGAGCAAGGTGGGGATGAGGACTGTGGTCCCCCCCGCGATAAAAGCGGCTTTCCATTCCACAGGGGCCGACGCCTCCAGGCAAGAAACCGGCGTCACTTTGCCTTGCAGATTGTTCGCGCCAAAAATGGGTTGGTTAAATTTCACGTCCACGATGCCGCGCAGGGGGACGTCGAAAGAGGCAAATTCCGGGCCGCCGGGAACCGGGCTGGCCGTTGGTTTGGTGGCGATGAAAAGCAGGCGGATGTTGGTGAGGTGGAGGCGCCCCTTGGCCTTACACGTGGCCTTGCTCTGTCGAGGGGGAAGCCGGCCGAGGGACAGCGAGAACTCCACATTATCTGCAGTGACTAGGAGGCCTTCGCCGGGGTACCAGGAGGGAGGGGCGCTGGCAGGACAGGGGTTGAAACTCATCGATCTACAAGGAGGAGGGAGCGTGGGCAGAAAGTGAGCGCAAAGGTCACGCACCAGCGTGCACTGTAGCCACGCGCACGTGGAACACTGAGCCATGGCAGGAAATCTTATCATGGTGTACCATGGGAAGCAGCAAAATGTGGGAGAAGGGGATACATCAATTCAATCTACTTGACTCTTCGCATGGGGTGCCAAGGGGAGAGAGGAGGTTTAAATAGCCAGCACTCCTTTTAAGGGCGAAAAATGAATTGTCCTATAGCATGTCCGAAAGTGAGGATGCTCCCAGTAACAAACGAGACATATGTGACAAAATGAAGCGGAGTTGCTTTGTGGCGTTAACGGAACGCATTCAATCAAGTCTTGTCGACGAGGCAGCATGTCGGGTGTTATAGAGCGGTTGTCATTCATGGCCAAGCTGTGACTACCTTTCGCGAGCTAACAAAGCCTGAATTCATGTCTACTGAAGCACAGGGGTCTGAATTCGGAATCAGGTATTGTGATTGGCGAGTCTCGCTGCTGTTCTTACTAAGTAGAAGCGACACAATCGGCCCATGGCCTGGAACGGACACAGCGACCGTCATGAATAAAGAGTATTTGAGGCATGAAAGAAAGCTGACTAGCATTGCGATGTACTTTATGACTCCGTGCTGAGAAAAGAATTGGATCTGGACGTCTGAGGTGTCATGTCCGCTTCTGATGCTTGAAAGCCCTCGTCCGTGCGTCTCGCAAACCAGGTCATCGCCTCGGTTGGAAGAGAAGGGGAGGTTCTTAAAGCGATTTTCACAATTTCCATTGCCTATTTTATTTCAAAGAGTTGTTTTCGTTGTCCTGCTTTTATGAGTCCAATTAAGATGGCCTGCAAAGCCAGCTTTTCCTCGGCTTTATTCTCCTTCTGATGTTCAAAGACAAGCAGTCGTCTCGTACGAGTACGCTAAATCTTGTATGTACACCTGTATAGATACAATCCACTAGAACAAGATCCGAGGCTTTCATCGTACAGAATATACGACAAGCGTCCTATTCTTCCCTCTTTGGAAAGCCAACAATGTCCCAATCGCCTTCCACACCGCGCCTCTCTTCAACAGGGCACCAGAAATCTTCCCTCCACTCCCCTCACACACTCGCCGTCCCAAAATCCAGCGTGGTCTTTCCCTTTAAATTTGTCTCACATTCTGAGGTCAAATCCATCACGTCCTTGAGGACCGTCTCGGGGGCTTCCATGTATTTTCGGGCAATAGGGTCCTCACTGAAAATCGAGTCCCAAAGCTCCGGTTCTTCTCTTTGCACGGTTTCCCGCGCCTCTTTGAGGATGGAGGGCTCCTGACCGTCGAAGCCCATTTCATTCAAATCGATTACTGTAGGGAAGGGAATGGAAAAATGGAAAATGAGAACGAGGGCGAGAATCACGGCGGGATATGCGGTAAGGGGATCGCCTCTCGAATGCCTCGCCCGACGTGATCGGACGTCGGCGAAAGAGGCAGAGATGAATGGATTCTGAGATTTGTCCACGCGAGATTTTTCCCGGCCTTTGCTTTCCTTCTCCTTCCCGTCCCCACCTCTAGCCCCTCCTCCCTCGGGTTTTAGTAGGACCAGTCTGTCCCTTCCTCCAAGGTCCCCCCCCCCCCCCCTCCCTTCTGCACTTACAGCCCCCTAGCTCTCGGTCCAGGATATACTGCTGGAGCTCAAGCTGTGCCTCTTTTTCCCCTGCTTGCAGGCGCGCGATCAAGCTTACCCATTCCGGGTCCTACAACATGTTGTCGAGGGGTACGGGGAATGAGGACGTAGGAGAGGAGGAGGACGACGCGGGCGCGACGCGGACACTGCAAGAGAGCACGCTCATCACACCTCGGAGGAGCGCCGGGCCCGATCAGAGGCCTTGGACACTTCGAATGCTAGAAAAATACGAAGCAACTGAGCAACACAAGTTAAAGTAGGATCAAGTTGGAGGGTACGCCCACCTGGAGGTTGGAGTAGTTGAACATGAGCGTGGCCATGCCCTCGGGGTCGCGGACGGCTTCGATCGTGGCTAGCACCTTCAGCATGGCGTTCTTGAAGGTCTCGACGGCGTCCACGCCCTGAATGCGAGGAGAAATAGGAAGGCGATTTTTGAGCGTGAGACGGAGCGCTGGACTGATGCGTCGGCTGCACGATGCCCCGCAGACCGGCCACCTTCTGGGTTTGCTCGCGTGCAATGACGGATTTCCCGCCCCTTTCTTCTTGCTTTCCACCTCTCCGACATGACCACGTACATCTTGAGGTGTGAGAGCCTCCTTGCTGAAAAGAGGACGGAGGGGCTTGAAGGCCTTCAAAAAGGGCGTCTGATCTCTCAAAAACCGGAAGACAACAGGGTCGGACCACGTCGCTTTTAATTCGTCCACGTGGGCCTTGTTCGTGAGCATCCCCTCGCGAAGGACCGCAAACACGTCCCCGGCAAAGGCTCGTTCGGCCAAGCTCCACTCCCAGTCCGCCAAGGGGTCGAAGAGGGTCTCTTTGAGCACGGACAAGTCCCCGTTCGCGCTCCCTAACGGTGGGACCAAGTTTCGATCATTCCGTCGTCCTCCCGCTGGTCTTACTGTGCTGTCAGTCGGCTCCTGGACAGATTGTTGAGACTCGAATTTGTTGAAGATGCCGGCTTTTCTGTTGCAAGCTGCCAGATGTATTATGCTTAGCACCAGGAGCAATCGGCAAACGTGACGCATACCTGTGGGAACGAAGGTGACGAAGACGGAGCCGTGCGTCAGTTGTTACCAGTGTGACCCACTCTTGAGAATAGTCAAGTTAATGTTGGGTCCTACTTGGCCTCATACAGTTCAAGACCTCAATTGAAGCGTCCTCCTGTCTCCGGAAACACGATACAAGCATCCAGCTGTGCGCTCCTAAGAAACCCACTGAAACATCTTGTCTGTTTCAAGTCGTGTACATGATGACGTGCTGATCATATTGGTAAAGACCGTGAGACTGCCCGTATACCGACCGACGTTCAGTGGGCTTTCGGAGTTCAGATGGTTTGTTGAAAGCGATCATGCATGGTTTGTTTCGGTTCAGGCACTAAAAATGCAGACCCTCAGCCTTCTTTTATGCTTGATAGTGGTCAAGAGCTGGCCATCTGACTGAAAGTCTCCATGTTTTTGCCTCCACCACCATACTCCTGGCCTCCCCCCCCGGCATTTCCCTTGGAATATTCCTGAGAAACTCATCATGCGCAGGATTAAAAAGTCCAGTTACGCACGATATTGAATAGCTGGGAGTGAAATGGTAGACCTTTTCCGATGAAAATCGGCAGATGCACGGCGCGTCTTGAATCGTGTGGCCCTGGTGCTAAAAGGCATGACAATTCATCCAACATCATTCGTCGCGTGGAAGAATTTGAAAAGTGGGCGACTGGGGTAATATGACAGACGTCGCATTTGACTTATGGCCTACCAAAAATCCTCAAAAATTAACAAAATACCATACTACAGGGATGGATCATTTTGCTGTGTCGAATGTCACCCCCGAGTCGTACATAAGTGACAGCTTTTGAAGGGCTCCTGCCCCGTATTTCAGCTTGTTGGGACATTGAGTGAGCGATGCCCAACGTCCACAGGCCATCACTAGCGGATGAGAATAAAGATGACCCTGGGGGCAGGAAGCCCTTGACAAGGCGCATCATTTTGGGGATCCTGGTAGCATGCGTGCTTGTGAGCGGTATCGTTCTGGGTGCCGTCTTTGGCTCCCGAGCTGCTGCTCCAAAGAAGCGTCGTCCTATTGCCATAGAGGATGTGACATACTCCATGGTGACGGAGGGGCTATTGCCAGCAGTCTTCAAGCCAACGACTCCCTCCAAATTAATTTCACGCGTTCAGAATGACACGTTTCAAGGGAACTCAACGGGGACGAGGTCTCAAGCGGATGAGATGAGCAATAGCAATTTTAACAGCAAGCCTGAATCCGTTTTCGGTAAAGCATACGAGGGTTTAAAGAGGCTCGTTGGTCTACCGCCGTCCAGTTCCCTGCCCAAATTCGACCCCAAAGCCATAGTACTGCCCGAGGGCGCCGTGGCAGTCCCGTCTTGGCGGGCGTTGGGGAATGCTTCGCTCTTGGAGGGAAACGCCCTGGCCAGCGGCCGCATCGTGTGCTACGCGATGACAGGCGAGGACGTCCTGCGCATGGCGAGCATGGAATACGGAAGCCCCTGCGAGGTGATCATCTTGACAGAAGACCGTTTCACCCCCTACAGCATCCCTCGCACCATCAACGTCTCCCGGCCCCTCCTCCTCCTGGGCCGGCCCATAAACTCCCCGGTGCTGAATTGCACGAACAGAAACCCCCGCTTGATCGACGTCTACCCAGGCGCCCGTTTGGAGACGCGCTCCATCACGCTGGTGCGTGGTTTTGGCTGGCAGGCGGGGCCGGACAAGGAGATCAACATGGCGGTGGGGACCTTGGTCCGGGTGCAAGTGGGCGCCTTCTACACGGCGGTGGGCTGCCTGTACCGAGAGCGGAATAACACGCGGGCCTCGTTCGAGAGGGAGGTCCGTCAAGTGATAGACCAGCCAAACACTCGAACTCGGACTTTCGGGCAAATGTTTCTCGTGGTTGGGGGGCGATTGCACCTCACAGGATGTAAGGAACCGCCCCCCTTCCCCTCTCCACCTCTACTTCCCCCTCCCTTCCCCTCCCATCCCTTCTTAATCATACCCGCGCGTCATCCGTCCTTCTCTGCAATGCCTGCCCACAGCATTTTATCCATCCTTCCAGAGACCCCTCTAACCCTCCCCCCCCCCCCTCCCACGCAGGCCGCTCTTTCCGCTTCCGCCCCTTTGGAAGCGCGGTCCTGAACGCGATCACCATTGGCCGCGACATCAACGTGGTTGCCGGCTACGCGATCCTGACGGGACCACTCACCATGTCGTCTGCCCTCTTTACTGGCTCCTACTGGGTCTCGGGCTCACAGGGATTGGCCATGGGTGGCGTCCTCATCTATGTGGGCGGCCGCAACGTGGGATCGAACCTATTACAGTTCCAGGTGGGGTGGGCCATGCAAGTGGGCACCTTCGCAGGGATCACGGCCCTGATCGGCTGGAGCCACGTGGCCACGAATCTAGTCCTGTACCGGACAGCGGGGGGACAGTTCGGAGGCCTGACCGGCGTCTACTACCTGACGGGCTTCCTCCAAGGGCGGGCATGGGGGGTGGCGACTGTCTTTGGAGCAGGGCAAACCTACGTGCAGGCCGCGGGGATGATCATTTGGCAGGGTGGGGCCACCTTTGCCTACTCCATCTCCCAGGCCTTTTTCGGCGTGGGAGGCTCGACCTATATCGGGGCGGGGACAGGCATCTTCAATGGGATCCCACAGATGAGGGCCTCTTTAACGGCCTCCTCGAGTGGCTGTGGATTTTACAATTTCGTGGGTGCAGGGTCACTTACACACATATACTTACCCTCATTTAGTGTGAATCTTGTCAGATTCATTACCGGTATCGCCACGGATTTTTTCGTAGGCATGGGCTGGGCGAACAGCATCAACAACACGCGATTTTCCTTTCAGCTGGCCAATTCATATTTCGGCACTGCCTCGCAGGCCTTCGTGGGCATCGGTGGAGCTGTCTTTATCCGAAGCTATATCGTCACGAAACGCCGGTACAATTTTGCCGGCCCCAGTCCATTCAGCATCGTCGTTGGGGGCACCGGCGCCATCTCTTCCGAGACCCGGGGTCAGAATTTCTTCATTAGCAAGTACGGGATCGCCAGGTTCATTTTCAACAAGACGACCAAGTCAGTCACGCAGATATCCACGCCCAGAGCGCAGAAGACCCTGTCGCCCACGGCCTTGAACCCGAGGAAATGGAAGCGCAAGATGGCGGGGATTGGGGGGCACCGGAAGGCTCAACGCGGAGTCGAAACTGCTGGTCCCAGCCAAGCGGGCGCGACCACCATGGGTGGCTGGCTGAAAGAGATAGTGGATGCGACGGGGGGCCTGGACCCATCGATTGCGAATAACAACAAGGTTGTGGTGGTGCAAACGACGCTGTTGGAGGGCCGCTCGCACAGCTTTACGGCCCCCCACCCCGACGCCTTCAAGTCTCCCGAACTCATAGGCCGGTGGGGCGGGTACGCGAAGATCCTGGCCGACGGACTGGTAGAGATCCAGGACAAAAAAGCGCAAGAGAGCACCCGCACGCTTGGAAGGGTGAAGGGCGGCTCGGGCGGGTATCAGCCGGGATTGGTCTCTGCGAACAACTCGGAATGCTTCCTGTGTAGTGTCCACCCGGGGCGTACCCTTGACCATGTAGGGGGCCCAGACGCGTGTGAAACGAGCGAGGCTTGCGACGCTGACAATCCTGTGGATGCCTATGTGCAAGCTCAAGGCCTCACGAACTTGAACATCATGCCGCCCCCGGGTGCCTTGCCTGGAGTGTCGGGATGGGCCAATGCGTCCTTGGCGGACACGTGGTTGCTCTGGAGCGAGCTTGTCGTCTATTGCCAGCATCGGGACCCTGGCGAGGACGACGCAAGCATCGAGAGGGATTGCCTGACCAAGGAGTATGTGACGGAGGTGCTCAAAAGCTTCATCGCTCTGAACGCGACCGACGGCACGGAATATCAGATCACCTTGAGCCAGGGCGGCCTCCATCCGGTGGCGACCTTGTCTACCTTCCACCTTGAGCACGAGGACTCAGCCATGTCCGAGTTGCGATCGCGGCTGGCCCCAGCGTGGAACCCGGATTGCCAGGGATGGACGAAATTCGACGTCCAAGTGACCGCGAGCGAGTCCGAGGCAGAACAGCACCTGCTGGATGTGTTTGAGGAATTTTACGAGGACCCCACGGACCTGAGGTTGACGTTGATCGAAAACTGGGATCCATCGGAGGACATCCAGCCCTGCGGCGCGGTGATGACCGAAAAGGCAGAACATCGTTTCCCATCCATTGAGACCATGCCCGCCTTCAGGCCCTCGTTGACCGGTTCCCTCGGCCCCGACGTGACAATCGCGGACGGCGTTTCTATCACCCCCCCAAGGACGCTCGTACCAGGCGAGACCTACAAAGTTTACGTGCAGAATTTCCCTGCAGGGACCAAGATAATTCTCAAGCTGCTGGCGGGGCTCGAGCAAGATGGACCCGTGGTCGACACGATCGAATCCTTCGACGATGATGGCATTTCTGAACTAGCGTGGACCGCGCCCAGGGACGTAGATTTCTCTCCCAAAAAATACTACCTGCAAGCCAGACCCGCAGCCTTCCCAGTCCTCTTCGGAAATTCCCAAGTCTTCTCCTTCCAGGACGTGGCCGACGCCCGCAAACCGCGGAGGCGGATGTTCGACTTCGCGGATGTGTAGCGAGACCACTCATACAGACAAGCGCAATCATCAGCGCAGGAAAGGGGTGTGGATCAAAGCCTGGCTTGGACATTCCCCTCTTTATTTAGGAATTGAACCGGCGTTGCGTGGACGTCATGAATGAGAACGGAGCTGAATAAAATACTGATTGAAAAGTGATGAAAACACCCCATCGACGATACGAAATAGAGCTTTAAAAGCATAATAGGAGATTGAGCAGTCTGTGACTGCGTTGTGGCAGTCCATCTTCCCTTACGGCCCCGGCGGCTGACGAGAAGAAGTTCCAGACAATTGCGCGACCCCAGAAAAGTAAGCCTGACCTGACTGACAGTAGTATTTGTCGTCACAGGGGTATGTTCGCGGACTCAGGGTTTCTCGCGAAGTAAAGTGATGCATCAGAAGGGAAAATCTGAATGACCCATGACCTCTGTGTAGGGGGCCAAGGCGCCATGAGGTATTTGTATCTATCTTTAAACCGATGCGAAAGCGAGCCATAAAAAGGAAAAAAAGCAAAGTAGTTTTTGTCACAACAATGTCCATGTGCCGTGCGTCTTTGCTGCACATTTATTCATCACCTGTGAAACGCTATCTGAACATCTGTACACTTCTCGTGCTATCTGGCACGAGAAATAATTACAACGTCCTGAGGCCACCGACATCGGAAACGACTTTTCCCGACCCCTCTCGCTGGGCTGCCTGTATTGCGTGATGGCTGCCAGGATCACGCGTGGAGTCTTCATCGCGTTCAAAACATACTTCGATAGCCCTCCCGAGAAATTTCATGCATCTCACCCCTACGGCCCAGGCGTGCGTAGAGGGCTGACTTCTCCTCAGCGAATCGGATGGCCATCCTCTATCCATAGGTCTTCCTCCTCATCCTCCCATGGCTCACGTGGGTGGTCAAAAAGGTGGCGGGCCAGCTGCGTCAACGTGCAAAAGGAGCAGCAGAGACTCGCGAATAAGTCCGACCGCAGGTCCCCCTGAAATTCGCATGGTCGAAAACAATCTCAGTGAGGGACATGGCTTGATCATTAAGCTCTGCGCCACAAAGTATGACCCATCCCTGAACTTACCGGGATCGAAAACTGGGTCCGGGCGCGGCCACGTAGCTGGTAGAGGATAAAGACTGACAGGAGAAAGTAGGCAAGATTGGAGAGGCCTCCGAATATGGCGTTTCTGGGAAAAGGTAGGAGACCAACCAATAGGATTAGGCTCAGATTAGATGATGGTCTTCAGTGTCTGCTTTGCCGGCTCCTCACCTTGGCAGGGTTGCGTACAGAAAACAGGAGAACATCCACAGGCCCAAGGTTAGGGACACGACCTCCTTGTAGCGCAAGCAATACTGCACGCGTTGGGCCACTTGACCTGATCAGGGCATTTGAGTCGAATACGAATGAATATTAGTCATGACATGAGGTTTTCATAAGCCTAAGGCATCGACGAGAGATAGGCTTACCAAGAAGAACGCAGTGGAAGATGGAGCCCATCAGGCCTGACAAAGAAAGAGGTATAGACGACGTTTATAGATCATGTCAAAGCCATTTTTCGAGGAATATACTAGGTGTATGATGTATTGATACTTACAAGATGGGACACATTTCTTGTGCCAGTCGCAGAAACCATCCCTCCATCGGCCTCGAGGCGGACTCGCGGAGGGAAAAATACGACCACAGGAGGACGAGGCTGGCTTTTGCAAATGGTCCATATACAGAGGGGTAGCCTCAATTATGACTTGGGAGAGAGAAGATTTATCCTCTGCTTGGATGCACTGTATTGCGATCGCAGGAAATGCAAGGTATTAATGTGACGATAATGAAAATGGGCCGTCCTGGCATCGGCGGGAAACGTGTTTGAAAAAATAATCTACCTGCTTGTCGTCAATGGAGCTGCTCTTCCATTCATCATGGTATCTCGTTGGTGCACGAAATGTTGTTTCGATCTTTCCTTGGTCAGCTTCTGTTGTTTTTTTCCCTCGCTCCATCCTGTCCTCTTAGGGGGTAAGGAAGGGTCAGGGTCACCGCGGTGCCTTGAAGGAGAATGGGCCGTGCATGGTCGACAGCACGCCTCTCGGACATGCGATCAGACAAAACTAATGAAGATGAAGCCTACCACGCATGTCTCCATGTAGAAATATATGTCATTGCATGAAAGTTTTTCATCGGAAGGAAGCAACAGCAGAATCCATAACCGTAGTGCGCTTCTCTTCCCTTCTACCTCCCACTTGTTAAAGGTATATATAATGAATACCATAACCTATGTCGTTACCTCACCAAAGAAATCGCATCTGAAACGAATTCATTTCTATCACCTTAAGGCCCGTAACAGTTGTTCTTTTCTTTTTATGTGATTTCCCCCGACGTGTTCACGGTTTCTTTCTCCCCATAACAGCCACCACCCCGAAGGCGAGGGGGTGGAAAGACGTGTCCATGCCTGCATCTTGCATCATTTTGAGCACCTTCTCGGGTGGTACCTGCAACGAGATCGAAAAGGTATAAGGTTTGTGGGTAGGGTAAATACTCTTGCTTTTGGTGAAGCTGTACGAATACATGTGCATTTTCGCACGTCTGCCAAGGGCGATTAACCAGGTGAGCGATCGATCACCTTCACTTGAGACCCACCTCCAATTTTTTGTACTGCGACTTTTTGAATGTCCATGGTGCGGAGGCGTCGGGACGGGTATAAAGAAGGTCATTGATGAGAACAAAGCGGTCTTCCTGAGATTGTACGGAGCAAAGG